GTAAGAATGTTGTGCTGGCCATTGGCCCTCCCAGTGCAGTGGAGTTATAGTGTGAGATCTTTCTTCCTCCTCACTCCCCACTGCTGCCTGAGGTCTGCATTTCCTGATGGGAAAGTGGAAGAGGAGGGAGAAGACAGGGTTCTGGAGGCTCGCCGCATATGGAGGTGGGAGGTGCAAGGGTGTGTTCCCCTAGCCCAGGCCTCACTGGTGTTCAGAGGCCCCTGCCCACCCACCTCGTCCCTGCACAGCACACACCCTGAGCCCTGGCCCAGGTTCAGACATACGAGATGAAGGCGTGTTCCCCTGACAGTGGCTCAGGACTTCTGGAAAGCCTTAGGCTTAGGTGTGGGCTCCTGGAGTTTGTACCCGCCCTGATGAGGAAGCTGGAAGGAAGTTTTCTGTCACAGATTCAAATCAGCTGAATCTTAGCACTGCTGGCTTATTTTAGCCCCAGGATCAGTGGCCTGAAAGACTCACTGTGTCTGAAGGGTGCAGCAGGGCCCAACCCTTTCCCCCTTGTCCGCTAGGCCAGCACAGCCCCACACACAGGCATCAACACCCTCTTGGGCTCTGTCTCCTGCTCAGAGAGGGAAGCCTCTGCAACGGGGCCCCTTCTCACTGCTCGTCACTGGGTGTCCAAAGGCTTTGCTGTGGCCTCCTGACCTAGCCCTGAGGGCTGGCCGTGCTGCAGAGGGGGCAGATCCCCCAGCTGGCCCAGGGCCAGGAACCAGCCCAGAGAGCAGCAGGAGGAAAGGCCCAGCCCCTACCTAGAGGTGGGGTTGGCAAGGGAGTCCCCAGGATCTGAGTCGCCATCTTGTCGGCGCTTACCCTTGAGCCTAGCCTGCGGCCCTCTGAAGATACAGCCCTGACCCCAGCCGAGAGGCCCACTGGTGTCCTTCAACATTATCCCTCGGGAGGCTCCAAAAGGAGGGAGGGACAGGTATGGGTTCTGCACACGAAGAGCACAGCCACCTCTGCTCCCTCGGCTGGTCTCTGAGGCAGTCTGGGATGCCTAGGAGAGCTCCGCGAGAGCTTGTGAGCCAGGCACTGGGTGAAGCTAGGATTTGTGCCCCTTCTGCAGGTAAGGAAGCAGGACCAGCCTGTGGCCGTGGAGCTGCCCCAGCTCTAGGAGGGTTGTGGTGATGTGCTCTGGGTCCTCATCCTGGAGAGCCGCCTCATCCCCAGGCTGGTCGGACACACCTGGGAGAACCCATGTGTCAGGGCCCTGGCTGGGATGCGGGCCTTCCTCGCAGCGGGTGTCAACGCCCAGACTGGGGAAGGAGAGAGCCTTCCTGTGGAGCAGCTTCAGAGGTGGCCCCACCACGGGCTCCTCCCTGCAGCCCCAGGGTCCCCAAGCAGGGGTCTCCAGGGACCAGGAGGGTCCAGCTGATTCCCAGTTTCCCAGCTGGAGAGGCTGTTACAGAATCCCAGGAATGTGCCTTGAGCTCAGAAAGAAAATTCCCAAAATAACTTTTATAAATACTTGAGGGCAGGGGCAGGGAGAGAGCTCTCAGCCTGGCCCACAGCTGGCCTAGCACTGGGGACTGCTTCCCCTTCCTGCTGCCCCTCCCCTCTGGGGGACAGTGTCAGGCACCCAGTTGATGGGGTGAGATGGTGTGCAGGGGTAATATTGGAAAATAAGACAGGTTCCTTCTTACCCTGCATCCCCATTCCAGGCTGCAGTTCCTGACCCCACCCTGTACCTCCAGAAGGAACCTGGTCTCCTAACAGAAAGGGTGCCCCAGAGGGCCCCTCGGGCTGCCTGTCCCTGCAGCCCTATGCAGATCACTAAGCATGCCTAAGTGCCTCTGGTGCACCTGGCCTTGAGCCCAGGACCCTCCCGACCAGAGCTCTTTCAAGCTGAAGTTCTGCAGGGAAGAGCAAAGCAAGCAGGAGTAGGGGAGCCTGCCCCTCTCAGCCTAGGAAGGAGCCGGGCAGAGCCCACCTGAGAGCCCCCACTAAGGGAGCACAGTCTCAAGGTGCTGTCCTCAGGGAAGGCTTCCCCACAGAACAAGGGAGATGGAGTGTGGTCGGGATCCAGGAAAGGGGGGGAGAAGGAATGGGTGAAGTTGGGAACTTCCAGGGACTTGCCCCAAGCCCCGCCCTCCCCGAGCAGCTGTCATCAGCCCTGGGCCCCTCTTACAGGTGCAGTGCCCAGCTGCCTTAAGCAGCCTGCACCCTGCTGCCTAAGCTCTGTGAGTGGGCAGCATAGCTCTGGCATCTCCCATGAGGGTCAAAAGCTGAGTCACCCAGCAGGCCTGGATTCTCATCACAGGTGCCCCTGGCCAGGGTTGGAAAGAGTCAGCAGGGACATTTGGAGGCAGTTGTGTTCCACCATCTCCCTGGAGACCTGTTCTCTGGGCAGCTAGGGATGGGAGTGCCAGGAGGGTGACAGCACAGCGCCAGGCTGGGGCCAGAGCAGGTGAGACCTCACGTCTTCCTGGGGCAGGCCCCACCCAGTTGTCAGGCAGCAAACAGCACCAAGTTGCTACCAAACACGAACAGGCTGGTGTCTCGGGCAGGTGGCAGTAGATCCTGTTACAGGCCCTGGGCCTCTGGGCCCCAGCCTGACCCCAACCCGGTGTCTCCTTGCAGGCTCTAAGGTCAGCACCCCAGGATGGGGTTGGGGAGTGAAGTCGTGATCCAACCCTCCCCAGCCCACAGTCTTCCCCCACAGAAGAAATCAGCTATTATACCCCCTGCTCACCCCCACAGACCCTCTGCTCATCCTGGGAACACTTCCATTTGCTGTCTGCCCACTATGTGCCCTAGTGATACGATTTCAAATCCGTCATTGCAGAACCCTCACAATAGCCTGTGAGGAAGGACTGTCTGTTTGTTCCTAGTTTGCAGATGAGGAAACTGAGGCTCAGAGAAAATGGGCCACTTGCCTATGGTCATCGCATTTCTCAGTGGCAGAGTTGGGGTTCCAGCCCAGCCAACTCTTATGTTAGTGGAGCCCTGAGCTTTGTCCTCTACACACAACGTGCAGAGGAGCCTGCTGCAAACCTTCCAGATGGAGAGTAAAACCAACACGCACAGCACACACACCCCCACCGTGTTCAGCCTGCAGACACATCTGGCCCCTCCCCAAACACCCACAGGCTTCTTTAGATCAGGGGTTTTCAAACTCATTTTTAGTGATGGAGCTCTCTTTTCAAGCAAAATCTCATGTGGAAGCTCAATATAGAAAACTTAGTGTAGAAAGCCCCTATGGCCCCGCCCCTCTCTGGTAGGCCCTGCTGGCCTGGTCCTCCCTGCTGTCCTCTGTCGCTCCCCCGTGGGCAGCTCTCACAGGGCTCAAACCTTCCATTTTTGGTGCTTAATTTTGGTGTCTGGCGGCCTGTCATGTCGCCTTTCTCCCCTCCTCCCCGTGGGCTCTGTTCCACTGTGAGCTGCTCAGGATCCAGCTCCAGGCCTTGCAGGCAGAGCAGCTTGGCCTGGAGCCCTACTGGCCAGACTGGATACTGCCCCCGGGTCCTGGGCAGCCCTGAGTCAGCACAGCTACCATCCGGCCAAGCCCAGAGCTGCGTGAGGCTCCACCTGCCATGGCTCCCCTGTCCTCCCCAGTCCTCTGCCCCGTCCACGTGGCGCCCTGGAGATGCATCTCCCCTTCCTTGCCTGCCCCCTGGTCACAGCACCGTCAGCCAGCACCCACAGAGAGAGGGCTTTTCCCAGGGCTTACTGAGCACCATCTTCCACTCTTGCCTAATTGGTCATATTCCCGGCTCTCGGAGGGCTTTATGAAATCAAGCATGTGCATCTTCCCCAGTGGGTCTCCATAGCAACAGAGGGCCTAACTCTGGGGAGCGTGGTGAGGAGGAAAATGTTCCAGCTAAAAATGTACATGGCCGTCAGTGGGCGGCCACCGGGGAGGGGGCTCCAGGAGCCAGAAGGCAGCTCCCCACCCCCAGCCCGGCCCCCGCCTGTCCAGGAAGTCAGTGTTGTTTGGGCTTTACCTCATATCTTTTTGAACAAGAGGAGCTCCCCCTCCTCCATGCTGCCTTCCCACGCCACCTTCAAGGGCTGGGACACAGATTGGGACTGTGCAAAGCAGCCTTTCTGGGACTGGAAACCAAAAGGGGGGACTGGCCCCTGCCCCTACTCACCACCCTGTCCCCCCACCTCCCTTCACCCTTCCCAGTGTGGGTGAAAGAAGATACAGAGGGTACAGGGTGCCAGTTTCACTTCCCAACCCCTGGGAATTCCTGTCATTTCCTTTATCTCTCTAGCAACAGGGTTGTTGGAGCCAAACAGCAGGTCCAATCTTCCCAGCTGGCCCTGACCCATCTTCTCAGAGCCTCTCTTTTCACCCAGCACCCGGCCTCCTGTGACCCTCACCCACCTGGCCAGGCCAGGCGGGGATGGGCATTAGGTCCCAGAGCCAGATGTCCCCAGAAGACCAGCTGCTGATGCAGCCAAAGGAGCTGCCCCCACCCCCCTTGACCTTGAGGTTCTCCCTCCAGCTGTAGAGAACGAAGCCATAGCACACATTCCTCCAGCTCAGTGGCCCTGGGAGTGTGGGGGAGCAGCTCTGTAGTGCAGCTGCAAGGCCTCGGCACCAGACCCATCGAGAGCTCACACTGCCATACACCATTCCAGTGTTTTATATATGTACTGACTCATGTAAAATTCACAACACCCCCAGAGGTGGGTCCCCCTAGAGGTCCTTCCCATTTACACATGAAGAAACTGAGGGTCAGAGTGGTGACTTGCCTGGAATACCCCCAGCTGTGATGGGGAGAGGCAAAGCCAGGCCGGCTGACTGAGAAGCCCATCCCTTGGGGCCAGGACTGACAGAGCTACCGTCAGTGATCTGGGAGGCTGGGCTAGGGTGGGGATAGGTAGGATCTGCATGAGTAAAGGATGCAGCCATCTGCGAGCCTGAGGCTTGGGGCCTTGTCTGGTGGGTGGCCGACTGCCTCATACTCCTTGTCCCAGCACCAGGATGCCCCTCCCCAGGACACCTTCACTAACCCTGCCCTGTGCTTAATCCCCAGGGTCTGATGCTGAGTCGGCTGGGCCACAAGGGCCTGGCCCAGAAGGTGCTGCGGGACGCCGTGGAGAGGCAGAGCACTTGCCATGAGGCGTGGCAGGGCCTGGGCGAGGTGCTGCAGGCTCAGGGCCAGAGCGAGGCTGCTGTTGACTGCTTCCTCACTGCCCTTGAGCTGGAGGCCAGCAGCCCAGTGCTGCCCTTCTCCATCATCCCCAGAGAGCTCTGACCACTGCCGCCGCAGAGAGGAAGAGGGCTGCCCACAGGGCAGGTGGGCCAGCAGGGAACCTGGGGCCTCCAGGAAATACAGCTCTAGGGAAACGCTTCTGCAGGCTGCAGCCCTAGTTCTCCCCCACCGTCCGTGCCTTGCCTTCAGGGCCAGCTGGGTCTGGGAGTTGCTCATCTGGAGCTGGGTGGACAAGATTTGCATCAAAAGCAAATTCCTTGCTGCTTAGGACTCAGACAGACATGATGATGTTTATGAGCAGTGAAGTAGCTGGGAGGCCACATCAGCACAGGGGCCCCTCCCTGAGTGTGCCTTATCTGAGTGTCCCCTCAGGGTCTGTGTGTCTTGGGTACCTCCCCTACCCATCCAGAAGCCCGTGGACCCTGCCACCCTCCCTGCACATCCCTGACTCTGGATTTCTCGACTTTGCACAGACTTTGGTCTCAAACTTCAGCTCTCTTCTCTGCAACACCAAAGACAAACCCCACTGGGCTGACCTCTGGCTGGGCAGAGAGGGCTTTCCCAGGCACCACGGGAGAAAGTCTGCTTGAACCCCAAGTGACTTAGAGTCATGGTGACCGGACTTGCTCCCTGAGAGCATGGGTGGGGCAGCCCCAGAGCTCTGTTTTCCGCACACCTTGGGCTGTCCCATGGCGCTGGTCTCATCCCCAGTCTCGGCTCTTGCCCAGGGCAGCCACAGCTGGAAGAATCTGCTGGTGAGTGGGAAAAGGATGGGATCTCTGGGTCTGAGTTAGTGGATGATGCCTGGCATTGCCCCCTCTTTGCCCATGAGGCCAGTTGGGCCCCACTGTGCCCCTCCCTTCTGCCAAGTGCCTTTGGGGCCTCTGGTCCTAGTCCAGAGCACCGAGCACTGGCCCTACTAACCATCCGTTTCCACCCACCCGCACCTCCCTGGAAACATGCCCAAGCCTGGGCAGCCTCCTTAGGCCCTAGGCCATAGCCCCTAGGATGGGCCTCAGGGAACAAACCTGGCTGCTGGACCCAGCCCTTTCTGATACCTTGTGTCAACACATTGTTCCTTCAAGCCTTACTTTTTTGGACAATGGGTACAATAGAGACTCCTCTAGGGGAAATAATGTGGAAGAGGGCAGTCTCTAGGACTGTCCCCAGTACATCTTACCACCCACAGCCTATTTTCACTTCAGGCTTTCTTGGGTGACCAGAGCCCAACCCTGGACATTTGGTTCCTCCTGCCTGGGGCCAAATAGGGACTGTGGCTGGAGACCCAAGGAAGAGAGGAGCCCAGCCCCTCCTCTCTGGTTAAGCAGGCCTCTGTGTCCCTGGCAGATCCTTGTGAGCAGGGGTCCCCGGGCCGGCGGGTGGCTGCCTTGCCTGCTGGCACCCCTAGCCCTGCTGTGAGCTCTGGGGATTCTCCCTGGGATGTCAGCCTCTGACAGGCCTATCAGGGAAGTCCTTTTTTTATCTACACTTTGGGTTTTACTTTTAAAGGTCCATCTGGTACATTTCTCAATTTAAGGTGTGTGGAAGGGGCTGCCCTGGTTTGCCATAGCCCAGTCTGTTCCCGGTGGGGAAGGGCTGCTGGGGAGCCACCCCCCTGCCGCGCTGGCTCAGCACTGCACACTCAGGTGCTTCCAGGCAGGGCCCGTTCCTCCTGGCCTCCCAGGCACTGCAGAGACACCAGATCATTGCCTCTTGGTTGGGGGATCTCTCTATACATGTATGTGTGTGTGTAAATATAGATATATATATATATATATATATATACATATATATAAATGATAGAGATTTATTTTTATTCTGGAATTCTGTTATAAAAGTTAGCAAGAAAAAGTGAATGCTATTAATTTGCCTTAGGGTGCCCAAAGATGCTGGTAGGAAAGGTACCAGATGCATTTGACTTGAAGGATTTCTTATAAGGCAGCCTCAGAGGCCTGGGCCAAGTTGATGACAGTTCCAAATAAAAGTCTTGAATAAAGAGATGGTTGAAAGGGAAGCAGGTTTGTGTAAAGTAGCGTTCATTTGTCCGACAAGTACCCCCAAACAGGCCTTGAACTGGCCCCCAAGGAGTTCTGCAGGAAGAGGCCGGAGAAGTCAGGAAGGCCAGGGTGGGGTGGGAGTGGGGGGTTGCTGAGGAGACTGTGGTTTGAGCCTGGTGAGTGGGTAAGAGAAGGTGAGGGCTTGAGGAGGGCGCAGAGGTCAGGAGGCGGGTGGGAAGAGGCAGAGGAGTCCAGGCACGAACGTTCTGGGCTTGAGGCCCCTGCTGCCTCCAGCTGGAAGAGCCCAGACCCAAACTTGTCATCTGAACAGCAGACTGTCAGATGGGCCACCTGCACTGAGAAGTCCATATAATATGTTAGACCACACTTTAATGTACTATGTATATGATAAGATATGCATCAAAATTTTGAAGCATGACATAAATTTACACAGCTCTATTTTCTTCATGTGCCTCTAGGATCATCTGTACCACCCACTCTGAAGGCTGCTGCCCTTGAGGCTTCCCCTAGAACTTGGGGCTGACCTGAACAGAGCTTTCCTCGGTCATGGCCTCACAGCAGCCAGGCCTCCTCCACCCGGACTCTCAGCCCTGTTCTGTTCTTGGGTTAGGGTTTTGCTCTCCTAGTGAGGAAGGGGCTTTCTTGGATCCCTTCTCTTACACTGAGATACTTTTTTTTTTTTTAAGAAACACATTCGGTCTTTAGTGATTTAACAGTATCAGATTGTTGTTGGGCAAGCCAATCCAGAAAGGTCTCCTGTGTGCTAGGTGAGACCTCAGCCCAGGAGAGGGTTCTTGACTCTGATAGAATTCACCAGCAAGCTGAGCTGGTGGGCTAGTAGTTTAACAAGGCAAAAGAATGCAGTCAAGAAGGGAGTTGTGGGCGTGCCCCAGAGGTGAGCAGCCCGGTGGGGATCGTGTTGGGCAGTCTCACAGCTAGAGTTTAAGCATGGATGGAGTATTCATCAGCGTAAGTGGGGTTTTCTCTTAAAAAAGAGGTGATTTCTGGGAAATAAGGTGACACCCTCTTTTTGTCCTTACATGTTCTTCCTCAGAACTATCGCGCTGCTAGGGGGTATGATTTTCAGTATGCTAATGAGCATATACTGTACTTTGAAGTGAAGTCAGCATCAACTCCTCCTCCACGTTGGAACCAGCCAGTTTGGCGGCTCTGTTATCTATACCCTCACTTGGCACATCCCATAAGATCAGTCTACACAGAATGTTTAGACTATAAACAAGCATCTAACTGAATGTAAACACTGGCCAAAGTCACCAACCCCATCCCTGCTCATATCTGGCTGTCTACCTACTATAACAAGATTACTTGTCTCACCCCCGCACCCCCAGTTCACAGCCTCTGGGCTGCTTTAAGCCATAGATGATGTCACATTGTTTGCCAGCCTAGGAGAAAGGTCTAGAAAGCTCATCCTACAAGGAAGAGGATGGAAAGAGGGGGAAAGGCCTTCCTGTTCCTAATGAAGGCTTTATGGAGCTGACCTCAAGCTGGTCAGATGTTGGAAAGTCAAGCAGTGGTGGAGCCCCAGGCAAGTCCCGACCCCCAGCCCCCTCTGCACTTCTTGTTCACACACAAACCCTCCCTAGAAAGGGAGCATGTCAGCCCCGTGTGCAATCCATTGTCCCCCAACAAGGCTGGAGTCCAGGGACAAGACTCAGGGTTGCACTGTCACCCCCTGGACCTCCACTCCCCCCACCCCCACTCTCCTGGGCACAACCCTTAGCATTAATAGCATCTATCTGAAGGCACAAATATGAATGGAATTTCAACCACCAACACCCAGACTCCTTTCTGGTACCAAAGTGCTCATTGTTACATTCGCACCCCCACGCCGCACTCCAATGTCATCACCATGCAAGTATTCCTTGGCCTTGGGAAGCATGCAGCTAAATAAATCTCCCCCGGCCCAGGATTCCAGCTCTTGGTGGCAAGCCGCAGTCAGGGAGCCTCCCACGTGAGCAACCTGTGGCTCTAACCCAGTGTTGCTGAGCTGAAGGATTCTGGAGGCTCGGGAGGGCCTGACTACAAAGTATGCTGCTGTTCGTTCCCAGCCAGAAATTCCTAATAGGTTCTTACGGTTGCAGAGAACAGAGACCCACCTAAGGAACTGGGCAAGAGAAGGAGCCCTAGGGCAGTGGCTGCAGTGCACAGACCTGGGGCCACAGCAGCTGTGGTCCCCCTTCTGTGATGAAGAGTCAGCACCCACCCTGAGTTCAAAGGCCAAGCTCTATTACTGAGTGGCTGTGTAGCCTTGAGCAAGTCACTTAACCTCTCTGTGCCTGTTTCCTCACCTCACTGGTTAAGTAAGAAAAGTAGTGGAATAGAATGTGATTATTTTCTCTGCCTCTGCTTGGTCTGTCCTCCTCTCCCTGCTGACCACCTTTGCTTTCTCAGAGGGGTGCTCCCCTAGGACTACATTCAGCTTGCATGCCTTTCCAAGATCCTCCAGCCCCACCCCTGGCTGACTCAGAGCCCAGCAACTCCTCTCTGAGTGCCTTAGATTCTTGGATGAGAGGAGCCCATTGGTCCCCTTCATTCTGCCAGGAGTCATCAGGAGCCTATAGACTGAGTCCCCTTGGGTAGGTGCCTCCCCCTGGTCCAATCAGTTGTGACCTGAGAACATGAGCTTCAGGACACAAAGTATGGCTGCTTGAGCAGCTGGGCTTCAGGCTGGGCAACAACGTGGCCCCTTATAATACCTGGTATTAGCCTGTCATTCCCTCAAGTCTTGCCCTCTGAGCACTGGGTATGATGCAGGCCCCTCTGGAGGACCAATGACAGAACCCAGGCCACTCCTGCACACCTGTCCCCTTCCCTCACTATCATTGTCACCTTACAGTGCACCTGTGGGGGCTCCTGTCCTGGCTGTACTGCCAGAATGAAGATGACCGTGACATATCATGTGCTCCCTGCGCCCTACTATGCATAAGGCTCGGTACTTATGGGAGGGACAGCAGGGCCCCACCTGACCCTGGCAGAGCCAGCCGGGAGCTCCCATTGCTCCTCTGGCGGCCAACAACCTTGGGAGGTGGCCGGCCTGAGAGCCGAGGTCCTCTCCCACAGTGCCAGGCTCCATCCACGGCCTTCCTTTGGAAGACACTGCACATCACCAGCCCAAAGGACTTGAGGGAGAGAGGAGAGGGAGGCAGTGCCCGGCCTCGCAGAATAACCCCTCTGGGACCCATGGAAGCATCACCAAAGTCCTCCCCTGAAGCCACACAGGTCCGGGTGTCCCAGGTGCTCAGAGGCCCTCTCCTTGGCCAGCAGTCTCACCCTGCTGGCTGGTGGCCTAGGCCCAACTTTAGCGGAGGGGAATGGGTGATGCTCCGTGCTGCCTGCCACCCTGCCCCCTTCTGCACCCAGAGAGAAAGGTCCTTAACTGGAGGTCACTCCGGAGGCTGGAAGGTCACTCAAATAGCAAGAGGGTTCAGAGATGCCAGGCAGCCCAAAAACACGAAAAGGTCACCAGGCAGCTGTGTGTTGGGCCATGTGACCCTGCAGTCCCACCCAGCAAGCTGACTGGACCATGGGTGGGCTCCAGACCCGAAGCCCCCACTCCACGGACTGGCCCCTAACCTAGAGGTGGCCTGGGTGGGGCCCTAGACACAGTGCTGGGCGCTGCTGTCCTAGTCTCTCTCATTCTCTCCTCCCTTAACCATCTCTGTGCAGTTTGGCAAGAAGTCTGTCCTTGTGGACATCTTTTAAAAACACAGTTTTGTTTCTGAACCATTTGAGAATAGGTTGCATAAATCATGTCACTTCACCCCTTAATACTTAAGTGTGTTTTTGCTAAGAACCCACAGTTCATTGTCTTTCATAACAACAGTGAAGTTAACAAATGAGGGGATTTAACATTGACACAATATTTTATCTACTCTCCCAACTGTATGCCAGTTTGTTTTTTGTCATATTGTTTTCCTCCAGCCCAGAGTCACACATTCCACTTTTCTGGCCTCTGCAATTCAAGTGTGGGACAGAGAAGAGGGAAGCCAGTGGTGGTGAGAGCAGAGGCTGAACAGCAGCCTGGGGGCTGAGAGGAGAAGGGAGGGCAGCTGATTGGTAGCATCAGGAAGAAAGAAGCAAAAATGAAGACCAGGTGAATCTCAAAGACAGAGCTCTTAAATCACAAGAAATTAGATGCTCACTTTCAAGGGGGCAATGATGATGATGGAAGCACTAGGGCTTCATTCTGTCCTGAACAACCTTCCTGTCTCCTGCAGCCTGTCTTTGAGGTCAGCACTCAGAGTTGCTTCCTGTCCTCACTCTTTGCAGTGACCCCCTGACAACTTAAGGGAGCCTGAGTGTGTCTGTGCCTGGTGGCCCTGCACATCCCCAGAGAGGCCTCACTCCCCACTCTGGCTTTCCTCTGTGTACCCTGGAAACCAGCCTTCATGGGGGGTGGGCACCAGGGCACCTACCTAGGGAATGGGGGCTGGGGGTGCTGACCAGTAGCAAAGGGGCACAGGTGGGCATGTAAAAGCTCATCTCACAGGAGAGGGAAATCAAGGTGTGGGAAGGTAAGGTGACTTACCCGAGGCCCCCAGCCAGCCAGGGCAGTGACCGACTCCCAGATAGTCTGAATTCCAGAACCTATTGCATCTTTCGAGGGATACCCACAAACTCAAGGATCATGTATGCTGACAGGGGATCAGGCCAGGCACCCGGCGTTCTGACACCTGAGATGTGTCCCTTCCCTGCATGAAGGTCAGAGCACGGATGGCTTCCACAGCTCCTTGTCCCCAGGTCCCAACAGCCTGGGTAGTCTGTAACTCCCAATCACTTCTGCTGGGGCCAGGAAGAAGAAGCCATGGCAAGCTCCCTCTCACCATGGCAAGCGGCCCTGTGCCCAGACCGGCGGTCATCACAGCTCACTACCCTCCCCTGCAACAAGGCCTGGTGGGTGGCTATGGGTGGTGGCATCCTACATGGCTCACACTCCCCACTCTGCGAACACCCTGCCACACGTGCAGGGGCTTTG